CCTCAGAGAAACAGTAAAGCAAGAAAGCATAGAGTTTCATCATACTTGAGTCTCATCAACTTGTTCTTCTACTAGAGCTTTTGAAGGAGCTGCTAGTTCCTTGCTCAAGTCAACTTCCAGACTAAATGAAAAAAATTTGATGTGTCATAGAACGGTGAATATGACAATTGAAGCAGATCAATTCATGAAGAAACACATGCAAGATTGTACCTGTCAAGACTCATGACCCTATTCAAGCTAAGAAATCCAGAAGACTGTTCCTGTTTCACATGTATTATATGCAAGCAAGTTAGAAAACACCATATGAAGTACTAGTAATTTACAAGTTCAAAGACAAAGCAAAATCTGATTATCTTGTTATATCTTCTTGGCCTACAAAATTAGACTTTGAGCTCCATGGTAAATACCAGAGTAGACAAAAAATCATGACAAATAAACAGAGAGAGGTCTGCAATTTGGAACCCAGACAACCTCAGAACGACCGTTACAATCAACAAAGACAGGGGCAATGACAATCATTTCAGAGAAGAATTCTAGAAAATTCACAATGGGAAAATCCTATGTTAGCCATATCGTCAGTGACAACGAAGTTCAATTAGCAAGATATCAGACATGTCAACAAGAAATAAGAACCCCAAAGCCTTCAAGAAGAACAAAAAGGACACTAGACATATCCTCCTACAACTACAATAATGAGGAATTCAAAATTCAACCACAGAAATTAATAAATAGCAAAAATTAACACAAGCCCAGCTCATATTATAACCAAAAAACAACAAATTAATTTAAAAAATTTGGACCTTTGCCGGAGAAGCAATAGGGTCAAATGAGGAATTCCCAACACCATCAGCAGGGTCCTCAATGAGCCTTTTCATGCGACCCATGAAATCTTTATTCCAAATGAAGTCATCAGAAGTTAGCGGGTCCTCATCCTGGCCACCCCAGTACTTCCTGAGCTTGGACGTAGTTGGTGGGCCGCCCCACTCCCCTGGAGCCACCCCAGTAGACCATTTGAGAGGCTTCTTTTTTGGCAGCAAAATCTTGGTTTCTCTTGGACTTCGAGCTGCTGGCTGTGCTGCTGCTGAGGAATCTTGTGATAAGGTTAAGGAGATGTAGCAGTTCACTACTGCCATTGTGCTGTGTGTTGTGTGTGTAATTTGGTGGAGGGAAACGTGATTACGTCAGAGAAGGAGCACCGGTAGTTTGATCAGAGATGGCTGTGATATTTCCGGGAATGAATTATGCACAGGGATTTTAAATTACGAACAAATAATGGCCGCTATTTAACTTAACACACTCTTTAACATAGCAAAAAAGTAGCAGGGAAAAGTACATGTAGGCCGTGTTTGGATGCACTTGAGATCCTCGGTGACATATTTTGAGTGCCAATCCAATGCCACCTCTAATATTGTGCCAAGTGTCATAGTAATTCTTGGTCATTTGAAGCAGTACAAATAATAACAAGACACTTGGCGCAATATTAGAGGTGGCATTGGATTGGCACTCAAAATATGTCACCGAGGATCTCAAGTGGGATGGATATCAAATGTTTTTCAAATATCATTTTACTTTTATCACAATTATAATTTTTAATCAACTTTTTTATCTCGCACGTATCAACGCACACCAAAGAGTGACGTAGTAATTATTTCAAATAATCTCTTATCCACCGTTCTATGACTCAATATTTGGTCTATGTGTCAAATTGATCCTTAATATTTGGTCTAAAACAAAATTTAGTCTCCAAAATTTTTGATTTTAGACAGATGTAGAATGATTGACTAAAAATCATAAAAACTAACGAATAAAATTAAATTTGCGTTGGCAAAAAAGTTCTGAACTTGCATTTTAGTTTCGAACGTTTGAAGTTTGATCTCTTAAATTTTACATGGTTATAACTAAGCTTTTAAGATAAAATAATACGTTAATTGAATTAAATATATGACAAATATTTTGTCACATTTCTCTAGTTGCGGTCCAGAAAATTTTGAGACCACATTGGCAGTTTGAGAATTTATGTAACTTAATAATTCGTCATACAAAAGTATGAACAATTTAGGTTTATTAGGATTTATGTAACTTAGTGATACGCCATTAATCTACACGATAAAACATTAAATCTTGAAAAAGAATGGTACGACCTTAGTACTGGATTATAACCAAGAAAACGAAGCCGATTCCTCAAGAAAAACACACCAGCAAGATTTAAGGTTAATTAAAACACGACAATGTTGAAGAAAATACAAAAAGATGTGAAGAGAAATCCTATCCGAGGACACTGTGCAAACCATTCACCTTACTCGAAAGTTAAAAAGACCACTGGATTTTGTCTGCTAATAAACCAGAAAGTGAACCAATTACAATCTTACAAGCACCCTCTTCTCCGGTAGCTTCAAATTGTATGTACTTATTACAAAGTCAATAAATTCTCTCGTAATAACTCCTCCTCAAGCTCAAAGCTTTCATGGTTCTTCATTTTTCCAAAATCTTCTCATCATTAGGCTGTTCCCTGCGACAATCGCATTGCAAACAAATGAGAATAAAATACATCATCGAAGAAAACAGAATGAAATTCCGTACCTTTTTCTTCCTTCCTCTCTTGGAGAAAATCCAGTTACTGTTCACCCACTCCTGATGAACCCTCAAATTTTCCAACTTGAAAGAACGCTGTTCTTCTGTAGTTTGGAAGCGAACGGTATACTTAAACTCCTCTTCAGATTCAGCCTCCTCCATACCAGTAATAGTTCCTACCCACCATCCATCACCTTCGTATGCATCCACCTTCTGCTTCACGTAAAATTTCTTCCTAGGAATTTCAGGTGGGATTGGTCTTATTTCATCCAACGTGTGCACCTGTCTCAAAGGAGCAGGCTTATCATCTTCTAAGAGAGTCTTGAACTGGACTATGTATTCATCATTCTCAAGTTTTGTGACTACTGTTGCATGAAAGTATGAGCCTTGAAACCCCTCTTCTTTGCTCATGATCTCAACTTGATCACCTCTGTGAAATGCCATGGCTGTACTGCTTCTTGTCTAATGGGCAACTAGGAGCATATATATGAATCGGACGATGGAAGCTGCTAAATATATTCCAAACTTTAAAGAAAAACAAGTTATAGGATTTGAATAATTGTAAGCGAGATGAAGTCATTTAAGATATCATAAATGTGAGTTTTCCTAGTTCAGCTTACATGAATTGTCAGTCGTGATCATAATTCACTAGGCAGCAAGAAAAGTAGGGGTTGGGGAATAAAGACGAATGCTAATGGGTGGATGAACTTGCCAGAAAAGGGAAAAAAACAAAAAAAGAAGAAGTAGGAAACTTTAGAATGGTATAACTTTTTCTACTTAGAGGGGGGTTTGGTTGGAAGTTGGAACGGGGAGTTAACATTGATTGACTGAGTATTTAGTGGGAATCTTTTTTTTTTTTTTTTTAGTCGATTGGAAGGTATTCTGACCTGGTCAGAATCACCTGAACCGGCCAGACTACTCTTCTCGGGCTGTGAGAGCAGCCCCAAGCATCACAGCACGGAAGCACTCGGGAGTCGAACCTGAGGACCTGAATTCATGCAATCTTTCAGGATGTTGGCATTGGGAGCTAAATTCTACAATGTGTGGCTGGAAGGAAACTCCGGGCTATTTCAGAACAATGATAGGCCTGCAGACGTGTTGATTACTTGCATTGTAGAGATGATGCAAGGAGTAGTTGCTGGCTGGTCGATAGCTCCAAATATACGAACAAACTGGGAACTAGCACTTGAATATCAATTTAGTCCTCTTATTTTCTCTGTTCATTAGACAGGTTGATGGATCGCTGGTAGTAGGATTGAGTTAAGGAATAAAAAAAAAAAGATTGAGTAAAAAAATTTGAGAAGCCCTTAAATTATCATCGTTATTCAACTTTTGTTTCCAACTGACTCTTAAATAATTAAAAATGCATAATTTAAGAATTTCTAATCATTTTAGACGTAAATTCAGTCAGAATTGAAGGACCTTTTTGTCCAATTTTAATTAAAAGCATGGAGGATTTAATCAAAAACATTAAGAATAGGAGTAAAAGACTTGAGAAGAGACAACCCTCCATTGTTCTTAAATTCTTTATCAAATTTCTCTATAAAATTCTCAAATTCATTGATTTCATATATGAGAGGAACGCATAAAATCTGACAAATTTTTCTTAAAAAAAAAGGTTTGTTCTATGGAGTCTATTAGAAGCCTATGAGAACCGCTAGGTTCTGAGTTTAGTTGAAATTGTAAGAGTTGATCCATTTAGTTGTACAGTGGTCTTTTTTTCTTTTTTTTTTTGCTTTCACCTGACGAGAGTCAAGGGATTGTTGTGCACTCTTAAATGCTTTGTCTCAGAACTTTTACACTGAAATGTGCATCATTTCCTCCCTGGTTACAACATTGCGCTTCTGGTTTTCCCTTGGTGCTCGTCAAATAACTTTCTCTCTGCCTCGTTTTTTATTTATCATGACATCCATGACTTTTAGAGTGAGAATGGTTGATCAAGAAACAGCACCTTTCCTGATCCATCCTAAACTTTTGGAGATTGGCAACCTAGATTTTTAACGTACTCTAGCTACTCGTTACTCATTTGGCAAGAGAAGAAAATATTCTTTAAGCACTTTAAAGATTGAAATTCAAACTAAACAAGAAGATTTTTTTTTTTTTTTTTTGGGTTTTAAGCAAGAAGATGAGTAATTCCAATTTTTGGCTTGGGAAATATGTTTGAGTGTTACTTTCGAGAGTCAAGTTTGATAGGCATTTGTACTCGAAGTTATTTCCTTTCAAAAGCCAAACCCGTTTGGATTGTTATTTTCCAAAATTTTTGTACAAAACTGTAGTATAAAGATTTAATGTACGTGAACTAAAAAAATAATTAAAAATACAATCACGACAAATATAAAAGCTTTTTTCAAAAAAAGGCAATCCGGACAAGGACGAGGAGTTGGGTACGAGACCTGAAAAATGATGATTATAGGTAAACTAGTATTAAAGCCCCTTAAATACAGTATCAAGTTTATATATTTCAATTCACCTAATAGAAATGTGACATCAATTGGATGTAATTAATACAGCCAATCAAAAGAAACAAAACAAGCCATCAACCACCAAAAAAAAAAAAAAAAAAGGTAAGCTAAACCCTTCTCATCATGGTCGCTCCATATAAAGTCTGTGTATGGTATTGCATTTCATCAGAAAATGTTCATGTATTGCCTCCTCAGTGAGTCAATCCTCATCCAGCTGTTAAGCCATACATCATGCCTGCAGAAGTGAAAAGACAGACGAATATCAGCTTTGGGATTTGATGGTTAGACTAGCAGAAGTTCTATTTTAAGTTTAAACAACATCCTACTAGATTAATTAGCTGATTAGGGACTACCTTATTCTTAATCTTCCTCGTCCTTTTTTGTTTTGTATTCCCTTCCGGCTCTGAGATACTGATAATGTGGTCCTGAAAAGAAATGTTTTACCAAGTATGACAGAAGAAAAGACCAGATCAACAAGAAATCACCAAAATAGCAACTTAAAGCACAAATTTACTCAAGTGTCCTAGAAAAGAACCCAAAAATAGTAACAAGTTTAATGGACTACGTTACCTACCTCCATGTGAAATGATATTCTAACTAATGACAACATAAAATGATAAAATCAACAAAATTAAAAATAAATATAGAATAAAAGAAAATGTTCCTGATGATCTACAAACAATATTTCGACTATCCTGGACCCTAGACAAGGAGATCAACCCATAGCCAGATAAATTGTAGAAGAATTTGCAATTTCATGCTTTTCTGTTTGAAAGTAAAAGGAAAAAATTTGAAAAAAAAAAAAAAAAGGAGATCCAGAGATGAGTTTGAAGGACTTGCCGTTGCCTCCTTGGAGGAAATCCACTGGCCATCTGACCAATCTTGATGCACCCTCAATTGCTCAAAGCGGTAAGGGATCTCTTCTTGAGTTGTAGGGAAGTAGACGAAATAGTCTGACTGGAATTTCCCATTTATGATCCCAGCCCACCAGCCATCGCTCTCATACACGTCAGCTAACTCATACAAGCTGAAATAGCTGACCGGAAAAGGAGGTGGCGAAGGGCGGAGCTGATGAACTTCGACAACCTCTTCTAGTGGTCCGGAATCGTCTTCTTTCAAGAGGGTTTTATACTCCACTTTATACTGAGATGCATCCTCCTTAGATAGTATTTTTGCAGCATAGTACGAACCCTCGAAACCTTCCTCCTTCAACATCACCTCCACTTCATCTCCGGCTTGGAACTCTATTACTTTTGGTTCTGGAAGGCTGAGTTTTTTCTTGTTTGCCCGTTTTCCTTTGAACCTACTTTTCGCCGGTTTTTTCTGGAAAATTTTGCCTGTTTCTTCTTCAAACTCTATTTGTACCCGTTTTCCCTTGGAATTCATTTTTGCTCGTTTTTTCTGGATAATGTTGCCTGTTTGTCCTTCATACTCTATTTTTGGCTGTTTTTCCTTGACACTCTTGTTTGCCTGGTAGAGTGAAGAGCCAAAGGAATCAATTCACGGTGGCCTTTAGATTTTGAGGGTTGTTACAGACAATGGAGAGTGTATGACTACTTAAACTCCAGGGGCAAAATCAGTCTTTCTCTTCTTTCCCTTTCTCTTCCGTTCTAATCCTCAACTCCCAAAAGCACCCGGTGTTAGTCATAAGCTAACCAAGAATAACAACTACATTATCAGTTTTGTACATTCCATTGATGGTTGCAGTAATGGGGAATGAACTTAAGATTTTTAGGAAGTAAATTATGAACTAAAGTTTACGTACGAAAGTGAAAAAGGAGGTATCATTCAAGGGTGCAATATCAAACTAACCCCAACTTTAATTTCCTTTCAAAATATTTCTAAACTCCAACTGTTAATTGCTTAATCACATTTTCTATTTCCAATCATGTTCACCGAATACAACTAGAAGTAGTTTTAAAAAAAAAGAAGACATATTCTAGCATGTAATTAAATGCTATACACTTTGTATATTGAGATTGATATCAACTTAATAGTGTAGATGCACAGATATCTACATACATAGAGTAGGAGTTTGGCATTTCACCTTGGTATAATTTAACAGGAGTGTAGTAGTTAAAAGCAAGCAGAAGATTGCTATGGAATTTACCCGGGATCTAATAAACTTCTTAATAATGTAACATGAGTGTGTGAAAGAAATGTCTGGCTTTTTTGTTAGCGTTATTAATCATGCTTATAGAAGCTACGCTTTTTGGTATCTCACTCAAAGAATTGAAGGTGGGATTTTGGTATAGCTCCCACCTAGGCGGACCAATGGGATATGATGCATGAATGTATCCGGTACATCTTTTTGTTATACTTTATGTGCTATTTTTTTTATTATATTGTTATTTCGTTTTTCATAAACACCATATTTTAACTTTTTTATTTTTAAGTTTCAATAACTATTAATTAAGTAATACATAAAATTAAAAAAATCAAAAAATTAAATACATAGAAAAGCGAGATTTTTTATGCATATTCTATTGCATTTTGTGATTTTCTCTTATATATTGCTTTTTTGAAATTGTTGTATTTAATTTTTATTGTGTCAAAATTATGTAATAGTAAGAAAATAAAAAAGAATTAAGATATAATATTTATGAAAGAGAAGTAATAATATACTAAAAAGTGGAATAAAAAATAGAACAAGAGATGAAACAAAGATCCATTGTGATGAATATACATGGCAAAACTTAGAAGTATAATATATCTTCTGTTCCAATTCCTGATTTATTATCTATCCCACTTTTTATCCCGTTTCTTTTTCATAAATATTCATATTTTAGTTCTTTTTTGTTTTCTTACCATCAAATATCAAGACCAACATGACAGAAGGTCCAGTGCAACTTAAAAGACTGCATATAAGATGGGCAACTAATCATGTGGAAGCTGAAAGTCCTGAACAACTCACCAAAACATGAGGTGGCAAAAGAAGGGGCTGATCATCGCCTGCAACCTCTACCAATGGTCCGGACTTGCTTTCTTTCCAGAGGGTCTTGTATTCCAGTGGATATTGAGATGGGCCCTCACTAGATTTTAAATTTGCAGCATTATAAGAACCCTCAAAACCTTCCTTCTCTATCATCACCTCCAGTTCTTGTCCAGTTTGGAGCTCCCCAGCTGTTGGTTTTGGAAGGCCGATGTTTTTCTTCTTTGCCTGTTTTCCTCTGAAACTCATTTTCGCCTGCTTTTTCTTGGAAATTTGCCCTGTTTTTCCTTCAATGTCTACTGGACCCTCAAAACCTTCCTCTACTTTGATCACCTCCAGTTCTTGTCGGGTTTGGAACTCCATAACTGTTGGTTTTGGAAGGCCGATGTTTTTCTTCTTTGCCTGTTTTCCTTTGGAACTCCTTTTCTCCTGCTTTTTCTTGGAAAGTTGCCCCGTGTTTTCTTCAATGTCTACTGGACCCTCAATAGATATTATATTTGCAGAATTGTAAGGACCCTCAAAACCTTCCTCTTCTTCGATCACCTCCATTTTTTGTCCAGTTTGGAACTCCACAACTGTTGGCTTTGGGAGGCTAACATTTTTCTTCTTTGCCTGTTTTCCTTTGGGACTCTTTTTTGCCTGTTTTTCCTCGAAACTCTTGTTTGCCTGTTAGAATCAAGAAAGAAAAAAACTTACTTCGTAGTTCATAGTGAATTTTAGATTTTGTAGGTTATTACCAATAATAAATTTCATAATAATATGAATCCTTAACTCCATGTGGCAAATTTCAGTAGCCATGCTTAAAGAAGCTAGGCCCTTTTTCATTTTTCTCATTTCTCAATCAGAAACAACCTACATTTCACGTAGAAAAACAAAAAAAATTAGAGAGTTTTTTTCTTTATTGGGTACCGATTTCGTGCAAGTCCACCTGCCATTGGCCCATTCCTGGTGTATCCTCAGTTTCTCCGAAGGGTAAGCCAGTGCTTTTCCAAGTGTAGGGAAGTAAACAAGATAGTCCAATTCAAATTTCTTATATATGATTCCACCCCACCAACCGTCGTGCTCATATGCATCAGCTAAATCATACAAATCAAAGTCCATGACCGGCATCGGAGGTGGCACCGGCCGGAGCTGATCGACGTCGATAACTGCTTCCAGCGGCCCCGATTCATCGTCTTTTAAGAGGGTTGTGTACTCCACCTTGTACCGTGAAGTACCCTTCTTCGAGATGATAATTGCAGGGTAATAGGAACCCTTGAATCCTTCGTCTTCCATGACCACCTCAACCTGTTCTCCTCTTTCAAACCCCATCTTTGTGATTTTCCAAGCTGATCTGATCTCTGTTTGCCTAGGATTTTGTCTTTAGATTTTACAGGCAAGGAGGACTAATGGTTAACTAGTTCAATCTGTATGGCCTAGCCAGCTGTAACAATGAAAATCCGATTGAGAGATGCTTGTATATATCAAAGCTAAAGATGATCTCTTCAGGTCGTTTTGCAGGCCAAAATTGTTAATTTGATGGCTAACAAGTTAATGTATACCATTGAAATCTTAACAATAAGTGCAACATCTTTGGTTTAAAATTTCAATGAGGATGTTGTTTATAACTTTCCTTATAAAAATGTTTTCATTTATAACTTACCCTCATGAAAATCTCCAGCTCAATGTCTATCATGTAACCCCTAACCAGCTGGACCAAAGCCAATTGATAAAAGTAATGACAAATTGAGTAACAAAAATTGTTAGAAAAATGATGATATACAATGTTAACTTGACCCTTTATCTATTGCCACCAGAACCACAATTTAATTGAAAAAGCAAAAGAAGTTCATAGTTTGTATACCTGTTATAGTTTGTAAAGTTCTCTCAATTCCATTTATTATATAAACAAACTCATAACAAAAATCAATTTGGAATAATCTATATTAGAAAAATTAAGCAATAAAATCTTTAAATTTGGAAGAGAGCGATTTTATTCTAGTCTTGAGTAAAGACATCAAGGAGGAAAAACAAATCATCCATTAACTCTTATTTGGCTCTCTAATTTATCTGAACCAAGATTAACATGCCCCGGCCTTTGGGGAAAAAATTAACATGGCCTGATGATTGTCTTTTTACTATTTATGGATAAAATTACATATTAAAAAAATTAATTTTATATATATTAACATTGCATATACTATCGCGATTGAATTCTTGACGTTGTATACAAAGTAAGAGTTATAAAAAATGTCACAAGTTCTTCATGCTTGCTACTTTTCAGCATAACAAACAAACACCAAACAAAGGAATTCAGCCAAAAGTTCGTTGTCACCCCATGTGACTCGCACGTGTTTCTTCAAAATCTTGGTCACAAGCTTTTCCTTTCCTCTCTGGTGTCTCTGGCTATTGCTCTTTCTGAACCCCAAAAGCGAATCTTTCCTAAATTGATAATCGCTCCGGTATTGCTAAGACAAATGAATATTAGTCAGGAAATTTTGATAGCTCAAATGACAAGTTCTTAGTTCCCGCGGCAGTCCAACTGATTCTGTAGTCTAATTTTTACTAACAGATCCTATGATTGATTCTCGTGTGCTATTTCACTATGTATCCTTGGAGTAAAGCTTTAAACGGACTTGATTTTCATGTACTATCTCGCTGTGTATCATTGGGATAAGACTCTATCTAGCCTTGGGGGATTAGTTTGGCCGAATGTTGCGATACCCCTAAGTGAAAAAAAAAAATGACAAGTTCTCTAATGTTTAGACAACATTGTACTAGATTAGGGACTAACCTATTTCTTAATCTTCTTAGTTGTTATTTGTTTTATCTTCTTTTCCAGCTGTGAGTGCAGTCCTGCCATGACATGCTTTTCCACCGTCCGTTCCTTCTCCAAAATGCAATTTTGCGGTCTACGTACACTTCTGCACCAAAAGCGCTTTGAACAAGACACTTTGTGAATTACTCAAGCAACTAATATTAATCTTTGTTTGTTATCTACGTTGATAAAAGTCAAATGTCCACAAAATTAATCCAAGTTGCATATATTTTTATACTTTCTCTACACCGACTTTTTCCTTGCTTAAGCTTCAGATTAAAGAACGCTTACATATAGAAGGATCGAGGGCCTCGTTCCTTTTGTCAATAGTAATCATAAGGTCGAAATATTTGAAGAGATAGATTTTCACCTGCAATTATATATACATATATAGCGATCGGGAGTGGCATTTGGAAGGTTCAATTATTTGAAGGAAAATGACGGTAATTTACTTTCTCTCCCTCTTGCCTTTGCATAAATGCACTTTTCATTGTTTGATTGAAAAAGATACAAACTTTCTTTATATGTTTGATGACAATGTTCATGTACATCTAACATTTATAAAGACCATTTGTTACAAAATTTGAAAAACGTTATCATGGGAAAGAAAAAGTGAACGCAGCTGCTAAGCGCGGATTAGGGTGTCGCTTGAATTATTATCTTTTGGAATTTCTATAGAAAAATATACTATAATAATATAATATATGTAAGACAAAAATGTGATTACGGAAAACAAGTGAAAAAAAGAATGATGATCTACCATGTAAATCATGAATAACCTATAATTAATGTAGATCTCTTTGATGTCCAGAGCTTAATCATGAGTTTATTGTTGATTCCTTGCTTAACATGTGCCTAATGCCTTAGACCGTAGAGATGCTAGTTCATATGGACTGTGCTGGATGTGTCAGCAAGATCAGGAAAGCTCTCCAAAATCTCAAAGGTATATCTCTTTATTTCAACACACATAATTATAAAGCTCTTTATTTATCTTTTCACATACAAATTAATGAGGAAAAAAAAAAGACCCTTTGATCAGCTCTTCTTTCCCATCATTCAAGCTACTATAGTTGACATTTGAACGTCAACGGATGAAACAGGAGTAGATAACGTGGAAATAGACATGTCAATGCAAAAGGTAACAGTCACAGGATCGGTTGAGCAGAAGAAAGTGCTCAAGACAGTGAGAAAAACTGGAAGAAGAGCTGAACTTTGGCAATTACCTTATAATCCTGTGCTCAGAAATCACAACTACACCGTCTACAATCCACACAGCTATGGCGGTTGTGGTGGTCCAGCCACCTATTACGCCACCTCTCAGCCGCCTGCAGCCTCCTCCTACAACTACTACAAGCATGGCTATGATCATAGCAGCCAAGATTATGGTTATTTTAGTAGTTACAGCAGTCATCAATTTGGACATTCGACCATTTTCGGTAGCCGGGTTGGTGAGGTATTTAGTGAAGAATCTGTTCATGGTTGTTCCATTATGTAACTGGTTATCTTCAAGATGATATACAGAAAGGCCAAAGCACTGATGAAATAAGTTTAGTTAGATCTTATCTATTCTACTATCTATTTTGCATGTAATTAATTAAATTTCAGTTTCTTTGGAGTAATATTTGTGGACAATTGTAGTTGATTAATTGCTAAAATGGTTTGTTGAGGACGTTTGCAGCCATACAAGTTTCATTATTTGGAATTTCTTGGTGTTTAGACAGTGAATTTATCCTGATGCTAACCTTTATAGATGAGTTCATTCATAATATCGGTACTTCTTAGTATTATGTTCTTGAAAACATTGACACCATTGGTACTTCTAAGCATTATGCTTGAAAATTAAAAGCACTAATCTTCGAAGGTCATTAATAACAACCCCTTTTTTTGGGTTTTTCGTTTTGTTTTGTTTTTTGCAGGGGGGGGGGGGGGGTGTTAAAAAAAAGGTCAAAAGACCATTTTTTTTTTCAAAGGTCAACTTCTATATATGTATCAAAAGACCATTTGAAAGCCCAAAAATTCCTTTTCCGAGTCATTGAAACATTCATGGCTCAACTGAAGGAAAGCAAACGTTGATCTTCAAAGCGCAAACAGGGAAGTCAATTTATTACCATTTGGAGTCTTCACTTGCTAAATTAAAGAACAAGAGAGCTGGCATTTTCTCAACACCTTAGTGTTACAATTTGAAGAAAAAGACATTCATATATGGCATATTATTGGTCAGACATTCCGCTTAAAAGCTTTCGGAGCTAAACTTGTAGTGTCTAAATCAGAGGATTGTGGGGAGTAAAGAGTAGAGAGTAGGCAAGACTCAGCATTGCCAAAAATGTACTAAAGATGGAAGACAATTGACCCATATTGGATTATCTTCGTATTTGAAAATTGAAATTACAAATTTCGGTTGAGAAACTCATATCACTAATGAATGTTTTTTCTCCTCCCAACACCCTTTAAACCCTCAACTGTAGAGCCGTTCTCTGATCACTTACCAATTCCAGTGATTGAATGTACCATTCAGAATTTAAAGACATCACTAGCATTGTAATGAATTGAATTGTTTGTGAAAGAATTTATCCAATTGTCTTTGCTTTATTTGGTAAAAGTTTCTGTTGAAAAAAATGCACTTTACACAAGATACAATTGTCAAGTAACTAGTCGAGCAAAGTTGATGCATTCATGGAGCATTTCTGGCGTCATAAATTCCCATATTATTAATCATAAAACCCTCTAAATTAAGTATGATTATTGTTTTGCTGAAATGAAAAAAGGGGTCAACAAATTATCAACACATTGCTCATGATAATTCCAACAAATAATTTTTGACTTCTGTGTAGTGGCATTTGGCAAAGCAAGGGAATTAATCAAAAAGATAGACAAGTTGGTTAAAGTTGGAATGGGTTATGTTTGAGTAGGGTTAGAAGTGATTGTAAAACATAATTAAGGACGTAAATAAAGAAATTTGAATTTTGTACGGCTCATGTAGTTTCATATGTACTGTATTAAATACTTGTACATACTAACCAACTTATCATAGTGACTTGTCTTGAACTTTTAATAGTCTATAAGTAAAGACCGTCCGAGCTAAAATTGAAGAACTATATTTAGTGTAATATTTTTTTCAAAAAGTTTTAAATTACTGAAAAAAAACTCGTTCAAATGGAGATTTGACGGTTCATTGTTTTAGTTTAGAGGTTTTTCTAATGACTTTCATAGATTTTATGTTCTCCTAAAATTAATCTCTTGTAACTAGAAATTTCTACCTTCAACCAAGAATTAATCGAGAGAAAGGACTCAAAAAAATGCCTTTTATTAATAAACATAAAATAAATATACAGGATACCTTTTTTATCACTCCAAATTGACACATTCTCGGAGGGAAAATTCTCTTGCAATTTTCTAAAAGTTTACCATAATTGAATAAAATATTACTCCTATATAATTTTGACTGCCAATTGAGATGGTCATAAAATAAGACGTTGAAATAGTAGGAGGGGATAATAGCAATTAGCAAAAACTTTTGACGAGCCCTTATCAGGTATTTCCATTTTCTCTTCGTTTTCTCTCTTTTCTCACTCTATTTCCGTCTGCCGAAAAATAGAAGCGGAGTAAGAACTTCTCAAGAGAGAGAAAATTTGCCTTTTCTCTCACTTCATCACCTGAACCCCAGTCAAGCTTGCCACCCCCCAAAAAATAAAAAATTAAAAAATTAAAGGTGAAAAAACCTTTGATTTTCTTATAGATCGGCCATGGCAGCTGCTAAAGAACGTGAAAACTTCGTCTACGTTGCCAAACTCGCCGAGCAAGCTGAGCGCTACGATGGTAAAAATTTCACTCACTAACTTGACTATCTTTAGATCTTATTCAGAATTTGAGTTTCTCAATTTTTATGTGAAGTTTGTCAAATTTTTAATTTTTTATTTACTGTTGTTTCTGGTAGGAAATGGTGGGCTCAGTGTTGAAGTGATGTTGATTTTTATTTATTCTTTTTGTCTTTCGGATTTTTCGCGGGAAATAACTTGTGGGTTTTGTTTAGTTTCTTATTTTTTGCTGATACTGAACTATTTATTTTTAATGCTTTGTTTATGTTTGTGTTTGATTTTTTTCATTTTTTTTATTGGATCAACTACCTCTTTTATCTGTCCGTTCAGGTCACCATAAAGATTAAGTCTTTATGAGAAATTGAAACGAATTGAAAAACTAAAAAGAAGAGAAAAAGATCTTAACGTTTTTTCTTTTGTTTATTTTTTCCGCATTTTCTGTTTTCCAAGTGTAAGTGAGTCGATAAAAATTTAAGTAAAATGCAAAACTTTTAGGCCCTGTTTCTCTATTTCAGTTTAGCTGTTTGTCAGGTTTTTTGAGTTAAAAGTTGGGGTGAATTGATGACAGAGATGGTGGATGCAATGAAAAAGGTGGCAAAGATGGATGTGGAGTTGACAGTGGAGGAGAGAAATTTGCTGTCTGTGGGGTACAAAAATGTCATTGGAGCACGGAGGGCTTCCTGGAGGATTTTATCTTCCATTGAGCAGAAAGAGGAGTCAAGAGGAAACGAGCAGAATGTGAAGCGGATAAAGGAATATAGGCAAAAGGTCGAGAATGAGCTGACGGATATTTGTAGCGATATCATGGCAGTGATCGATGAGCATCTCATTCCCTCATGCACAGCCGGGGAATCATCAGTGTTTTACTATAAGATGTGAGGGGCTGAACATTGTTTTTTTAGCTGTTTGATAACTTTTTTCTGGTGTTTTAATCAAAGTTTTTCCATCCTTGTGTACTTTTGCTGTTTGAATGTATCTAAAGAGTAGCTATTTCTTGCAGGAAAGGGGATTATTACAGGTATCTTGCAGAGTTCAAGAGTGGTAATGACAGAAAAGAGGTTGCTGATCTTTCGCTTAAAGCATATGAGGTGAATTATTCACTTGCAATCTTGTATTCATTTTGTGCGTTACATGTCAGTTAAATGAGGATGGATATGTTGCATTCAAAGTAAGTGGTGCGTTTACTGCTTGATTGGTTGTCAGTTTGACAAATAATGTCCAATGCTTTCTGAAATCTTCTGATTTGCAAGCTTAAGTTGTGATGTCTGATACTTGAGAGACTGTTTATTTGTCATTACTTTTAACAGTAACTTCCTTTTCCTGTCCCTTTTGGTAGTCTACCTGAATGATGTATTTATTCTGTTTTTCTTTGCTTTCCAATCTTTTTGATAAGGTTGAACAATGGTCTCTCTCCTTATTTTTTTTTCAAACATGCTTTCAGGCTGCTACCAGTGCTGCAGAATCTGGTTTACCTCCTACTCATCCCATTAGATTGGGTTTGGCTTTGAATTTTTCTGTCTTCTATTATGAGATCATGAATTCTCCTGAGAGGTTTGTTGTTTGCGATCACATTTGATTTAATTTACTCTGTCCACATGTTGATTTTTCAGATTATGACTATAATTTTTCATGCCAGGGCTTGTCACCTTGCCAAGCAAGCATTTGATGAAGCAATTTCGGAGCTGGATAGCCTTAATGAAGAGTCTTACAAAGATAGTACGTTGATCATGCAACTTCTTAGGGACAACCTTACCCTGTGGACCTCTGATATCCCCGAGGATGCAGGTAAGCATAAAAGCTGTTATGAATCTGTGATATGTGCATGACTCTTATTGAGTGCTACGTGGTTTTGCAGTTGGATATCTTTTATTGCTTGTCCTTCCTTTTGTTTGTCTTGACATCCGGAATTCTCATTTGTTTTCATAAATCCCATTTGGGAGACAGGTTTTGGTTTACTTTTCAGTGCTATATGGATGTAGGTTTCTTACCATAGAAAATGTCGGGGGAATACTGGGCAGTTTTTGTAATTAAGTCAGGGCTTAGCTGCATACTTTGTTCTCTTCGTTAAATTTTGATATACTGGTTGGAGGGAGGATGCATCTGAATGTTATTTATATGATACGACAGCATTGCTATGAAGTCCATTGATTGCACTTATTTTAACCCCCAAAAGTGCATTGATTTTTGAATAAATTAAAGCTGTAATTGAAATGGTCATACTTCTTTTTACGTTACCAGCCATTTAAAATTTTTTGCTCTTTGATTCCCTTTATTGAGTCAATCTTATGTACTTAAGAGTGACACTTAATGAAGAAAGTATGTCTCTAATTGAGGGAATACATATGTAGAATGAATCATGATGTGTTCTACGGTAAATTCATTTACTTAACATGCAAGTAAGACTAGGCTGATTGTGTTAACTGAGAATGCATTGTTTAATATGGTTTGTAGCATTTGCAACCATTCCTGAATAGACTTTCTTGATTGCTTTGACTATAACTTGGTTGTTTGCAAAACTTCAAATACATTCTCGAACCACCTTTTTATTTTAGGTACACATTTCTCCAAAGAGGTGCTACAGTAATTTTTTTCTAGTAACTCTTCAATAAACCCATCAACAGGCAACAGCTCTTAACAATCACAGTGACTGGTAAAAGCAAACTAACATTTGCCATGAGAA